GCACCGGGCCCTTTCCGCGGCGCCTCCGACCCACCCAGCCTCACCCGGGCAGGGAGGTCCCATCTTCTCAGCGTTTCCAGAGCTGGTTTTAAATCGCGCGCCGAGACGCCTGCGCGCCGTAACGGCCGTGATGACGTTGGCCGTGGGCGGGGCCAGAGGCGCGCCTGCGCAGACCGCCTCGGTCCGCCCACAAAAAAAAAAAAAAAACGAGAAGGGTGGCCCCGGGCGTCCCAGAAGTGAGATGTCCAGGATTGAGGAATTAGATCATAGATTAAGCTCACATGGACTCGGTGTACGCTAGGTTCCCAGGTATTTCACTCGTTCTCGATGTGCTGAGTGCATCTGACAGAGGAGAGTGGGAACAGGTTGTGATCCTCTGGATTCCAAATGTGCACCATCTAAGAACCATGGGGTTTGGGAGGGTGGCAGGTGGCACTGAATCAAGAGCCTCTAAAGAACTGGCATGGAACCCTTGGCAGAGGACGGCTCCGAAGTGACCCATTAGCTGAGGCATGAAGCTGTACGGTGGTTATGATGGAGCCTCCTGAGCTGACTGCTTGGGATTCCATGTGCATGGAGGCAGTGCCAGCTCCACCCCCTGTATCTCCGTGGGCCAGGCCTGCTTGCTGCAGGCAGGTCTTTCTCCTCCCGTTCTGAATGCTGCCTTTGTTTTAGGGTATTAGGATTATAGCAGATGCCAAGTGATAAATTAATCAGGAGTATCAGTGGCGGGCAAAACTCAACTCTTATGTCTGTAGAAAAGTAAAGTAGTGGGGCCCCTCCCACACCCCTCATCTGCCAGAAAAGTGCTGGAGCCATTTCCTTTCCCTGTTTTTTCACTCCTCACCCAGATTGTGCTTCCCCCAAATGAACACCAAACAGCCTTATTTTAGGTGAGGAATAACAATATTATCAGTTGGCAAGCAATCTTTTGATTCAAATTTGCCCCAACTTTCCATCCTGTAGATGCTTATATCATAATGTAGTTCATGATATAAACCATCAAGTTGCTGGGGCTTAATGGGCATGTAGTTTAAATGGCTTTGCATTTGTTTTGGCCCCTGAGCAAATGCCTTTAATTTTTGTATGTGATATGAAATTCCTGACCTCCTAAAGACTAGACTAAGAACCAACAATTTCTATCTTACTGAATTTCCAGACAATAACATACCATTCTTTATCTTAGAAATTAATATCGTGCTCTTTGCTCTTCAAAGCACGGTAACCCCTACATCTTGTTTTATTCCCAAGACTGTGCTGAAAGATGGCTAATTGGGTACTTTGTTCCAGGCTGTGCCACTTAACTAGCTACCCGAATGGGGGACTATCTCAGTTTCCTCATAGGTAAAATGGAGGGGTTAAAGCGCCTACTTCATGGGGTCATATTGTGAGGATTAAATGAGTTACCAGATGTTCAGCAGAACACTGCCTGGACCATTGGCAATGCTCAGTGAACACTAAGTATTCCCATTACTACAACTGCTGTTATATCCTGGGTGCCAGCCAGGTATTGTTTTAGAATAAAACTTAGCTTCCTAAATATCTGGAAGTTTCCCCTTCCATTGTAAGAGTATTCCCAGAGCACAACAGCTCTGTTCTTCACATTACTACTTGTTTTCTCTATATTCTTTCTTACACTCTGCCCCACCCAAGCTTTGCTGACTACTCCCTTTGTATTCCGCCTGCTTATAACTTTACATTTTCTTTCTTGTCTCTTACTAGACCAGAAACCACAGAGTCCTAGATCATCCCACCTTCCTTCTCCCTGACAGATTCATGCCTTTTGGAGTTTATGTATGTTGTTTGTAGCCACTAAGACCTTTTAATTTGGCTGATATTTTGGTTTGGGCACCATGAAAATGAATAACTTAGATGTTCTTTAACATGCTGAGTTATTCTTTCCTGGCTACCGGCCATGCCACTGGGAAACCACAGGGCAGACTTGTTCAAGATACATTGAGAAATACCAGGATGTACTGGATGAAACTATCAGGGTAGCATGAACGTCTTGGGAGCAGGCGTGAGAATGCTCATCTGTTTTATGTGTTATGGCACAGATTCCAACTGACACCAAAAATAATCTCCTTTATTGATTTGGAAGGAAATCACCAGCAAATTATTTTCCAGGTAAAAAGCTTACGGATGTTTTTAAACCAAAATCCCACCAGCACAGAAGCAACCATCATTGCATCTTAACTTGAAAGCAGTACCTGGTAGATACCAGCAGCCAACACGGGAACACAGCAGTTATTGTGCAGCAGTGGGAGCCCCAGATGTTGACTGGTATCAGTTTCTAGGACACTTGTAATATATTTTTGCTGGGGGAGAAGAGGAGAGTGTGGATTCTATAACCAAAGCCTATAAGGCCAGCATCTAACCCCACCTGAGGTCAAGTTGAATGTGGGCCAAGGTTCTCCTCTCCAGCAGATCTTCCTGCCAGTGCTGGGTAGGAACAGCACTGGTATTTCCAAAAGAACCACACCTACAACTAGAGTCACATTTCTTAACACTCCTCCTCAGGATGCCCAGGGATTTAAAAGAAGGGGAAATATACCAATCATATCTCCAGCATCATGACTTTGTTAGAGCTGAACTGTTTCACAGCCCCTTCCTGTCCAGCCCTGGCAATGGGCCTGGATGGCAATGACCCCGCTTTGCAAAACCACAAACATAGTTCACATAATCCCTTTGTCATCATTGAAAAGAGAAAACAAAGGCATTACCAGACTGAAAGCACAGCTACACATGGTAGCTAAACCTTCTCCCATTTAACAAATAAGTGGCTCCCCTCAGAAACATTGTTCATCTCAGAGACCCCCCCAAAATTGTCCCCCCTTAGGGTTTTATAATGTTGCTTCCAGAATACATGTATATATATGCATGACTGGGACATTGTGCTGTGCACCAGAAATTGACACGTTGTAACTGACCACTTCAATTAAAAAAAACAATAAAAATAAAAATAAAATAAAATATAATGTTTCCAGGAATTGCGGTTATTAGATGTTGGCGATGCCATTAATTTTAGTAGATACATTATCTTAATTATGGAACAGGCCACTGTTGACTTAATACTTGTTTGTGGATAAATGCTGATAAATTATTTGGGTAGCATTAGAGTTTTTTCCAGACGCATAAAACAACTATATTACATTTCACATATCTTATGAGAACAGGGCTAAATTAAGAAAATGGAAAAGAAACATCTTGGTTATATCTTCAAATAGTGAAGGTCTGAAAAGTTAGATCCTAAAATACACTGCCATCACAGCATTTGGGATAAAATGGAGTGCTACCAGCTTGGTTTTGAATTAGGCTAAGAGTTCAGTAAGGAAACCAGTGTTCAAGGGATGTGCTGGGAGTCGTTCACGAAAAGGAACAAGCTGGAATGGAGGTATTCTCTGGTTCTCTTTCACATCCAGTGTTGCTACAAAACGCAACTTCACAGGCCCCCTCTGGATCTCAACTCTTTAGCAGCAAGATCCTCCCATTACATCTGTTTCCAAGGGCCCTCTTTGGGTCATGGTACAAGTTAAGTCAAGGGGAGAAAACCTCAGAAAACCTACCCTAGATTAGTCACTGCAGGCTGGACCCCTCCTCAGGAGCACTTCAGGTACTCCTTAAAATGTCTTAATCTATCATAACCCCACTGGCAAGATAAAGGTCACATATACCATTGATGTGTCTTAAAAATAAACTCTTCTGTAGCCCGAGGAATCAGAAATACCTTCTCCCCCTTTTAATGGCCTATACATTAACGTGCCCCAGCCAACGAAGCACAGGGCAGAGTTTTCACCTGGGTCAGAAGGTTGTGGAACTCTTCCACTGCCTGTGAATGTGCCATGGGGTTTAGCACCAGGTGTTGGAAGAGATTGACAGGCTCAGCATTCCGAAATGTCTTAGGGATCGGGATGGTCAGGGGCAGGAAGGCGTTACCGATGAGGAAATGATGGAGAGACCTCTGCTGGAGGCCTCGGCCCAAGAACCAGAGGATGTCCTGGAGCCGCTGGGAGAGCATGCTGTGCTGCCAGTCTGTTAGGGGCAGCCGGAGCAACAGGTGCATGAGGGCTGTTTTAAAGTGGTAAGAGGTGAGGATGGGACGGGATGCTCCCTGGGGTAAACTCTGAGTGTCCCGGAGACTTAAAATGATCTGGAGGCACTTGAGATGACAGGTGTTCTCTGGAGCAAAACGCCCCACCAGCTTTAGGAACAAGTGCTCACAGGCTGCAAAGGACTCAGGCCAGTCCACGCTGGTGAGCTGTTCCTGGTCAGGGGCCTGACTCACCAGGTAGACCAAGGTGTCTTCCCGTTGCACCCCCAGGACCAAGCGGATGGAGAGAAAGCGGCCTGAGCGGTAGTCCAGCCTGAGCTTGCAGCAGGTGGTGGACGGTGGCAGGCTGAGCTTAAAGTCATACTTGTGGGCTATGAGGGCCCAGGCATTGCCCACCATGTTCCGGAACCACTGGACAGTCTTGCACACGTCCAGGTGGGAGCCGGTGCAGAGAGCCGCCTTGATGGAGCTGTTGCACTTGCCCAGGAGGGCCTGGTGGTCCCTGTGGTGGTGCACCAGGCACAGCACATCCCCCAGAAGTTTCTCACGCTTGCACACGCATTCTGACTCCACCACCACGCAGCCACAGCGGCGGCCCAGGGCTGGATCCCGCATCTCCAGCACAAACATTGTGCCCTGGGGGGGAACAATGGGCACCAGGATGTCAAATTTCTGGGTCTCGTGGAGGGTTCCCCATTTCTCGAAGGCAGCCCCGATGCCCAGGCAGTCCTCCAACTGTGGGTGAGCCTCCCGGCGGCTGAGCACCCGACAGGCTTCGATGAGGTCGTCCACGAAGCTCTCCACAAACTCGCAGGTGCAGGGCAGGTCCCGCGTGACATTCTGGACATGGTGCTTGTAAAAAGACTCCAGGGCCTCCCGTGAGGGAAAGTCAGTAAGCCAGTTGTAGGAGGTGACAGGCACGACACGGACCTCCTCCTCCTCCTCGTCGCTGCTGGAATCGAAGGCCGGCTCATACTGCATGTTCTGTCGCAGGAGCTCGAAGATGAGGAAAAAGCAAAAGAGGCCGGCATTCCACAGGTTTCCTAGCATCCAGCCCAGCGGCCCCTCCTGGCCATCAGCCTGGAACGGCCACCCCATGTCTTTCCTCCCCAGCACTAACTGGTCATCTGACGTGTCTCCTCTCCAGAAGTTCTCTGCCTTCAGCTTCTCCTCCGCTGCACGCTTCCGCTCTTCAAACTCTATCTCTAACTGGCGCATCTCCTCGCTCATCCGCTTCTCCAGCTGCCGGCTTCTGGCTAGCGTGTCCAGGTCCATCCGGTCACTGACCATCAAGGGGTGGTGAACCACGTACATCACTGCCAAGAACAGAAGGCTTATCACAGCCATGGAGACCTCTGCATCTGGAGAAGTGGGAGGGTGGGAGTCAGTGGTGATCTTCGGG